TTTGGTGTGATATGTGGGTATGCGATGTCACTGTGGATTGGTATTGGGGCATACTTCTATAGACCACATATCATCACATTACCGACATCAATCGAGAATTGTACAGTTGACATGGTTACATCTAACAGTAGTGATATATTCCATAATATATCAACATCATTCAACTACAGTGTATTATACGATATAACTACCAATATGACGTCAATGAATAGTAGTTACGTCAATACTAATGAGCTATCATCATCAATAGAGTTAATAAGGTATGTCCGATACAGTGTGTTATAGGTTCCAGCATTCTATGGCGTATTCTCGCGGGCGGACATCCGGGCATTTTCACCGCATGGCAACCATCACGGTGAAAACAAAGGCCGAAAACTCTCAGAAAACGGTACTTTGGGATGGTTGTTGAGACTCCCCTGAACAGTGTAACAAGATTACCCCCTGCGTGTGTAACGCATATAAATTTGATTGTTCAGGATTACTTCGAAGTTGAGTTCCTGTTGTTTTCTAGAATTTTCACCGGCTCTTCGCTCAGCGTTCCACGTCTCTCAACAGCGCGCGCTGAGCCCATAGAAATACGTGGTACAGTGGTTGCGCGTCTTAGCAACGTGGAACGTTTTGTGACGCAGCTCCGCCCCGAGGATACAGCTAGACGAATTATCATTATCAGTATCATCAATAGTGAATTGTACTTTACTTATTTTACTTGTACTTACGAATGATGTATGACGATGACTTGTATTAATTATTTTGACTGTGTCTTCGACCTGGTAGATTATCTTAATCGATTTTCATTTGGGTGTCCCTCTGTTAATTATTGTACTGAGATAATGTGGTTGTTAGTTTGAAAAAAAATACTGAGAAAAACATTGTTTGTCAACACAAATCTCAACTTTTGTTGTTCCACTATCACAATCATAATTGAGCGATGAATGTTTGACAGTGCATTTAAAGATGATGAACTAATGAATCTTTATTTGTATTCAACTTAGAAGCCCCTTACAATAGGAATTTCGATTGGCTCTTACATTTACTGGTGTATTTTTAAATTCAGACAAATACACTTTTGAACATTTTTTCAACACTTCTGCACAAGAGAATTCCTATCGACAATGTTATCATTTCAAATATTATAGGAAATTTAATATTGGTATGCAGTGTATTCGATTCAATTAAATTATATTTTACTTAAGTTATTTTAACTAAATGGAATGTAGTTGAATTCCAATACTATATATGAATACCAACGTAATTTAACTGAATGTATGTCAATGGCTTCACTTTATGTGATGGAAACGTACGTGTGAGCGAATGAGTGCTTATTCATTAATGATTAACATTTGTCTGATTAAAATGTCATTACATTCTAGGCCGATTATTGCCAACTTGTATAGTATATCATACCTTTGGTACAGCGCCACTTCTTCATCCGTAACCATAGTGACTGGTCTAATAGTTAGTTTTATAACAGGTGAGGACAATTGTGTTAACATATTGCATAACTAGTAAAGATTAGAGTTACAGACCATCTAGTGACCACCCGAATAATAACTTAATTTTGTAAAACAAAATTGTATGTTATTTTGTATAAGTTATTTCCCCTTTACCAACTAACTATGCAAACACGGTAAATCAAAAGGGTCACCATTCTTTCATCTCTATTTTATTTATGCCTAGCATAAACCGTCATTGCGTCATTCAAAATCCACCAATTGTTTTACAAATTTTAGAAATCAAGTTCAGTTACAGACATTGTCACCGACTACCGTGTTTGTGTGCTTCGTACTTTACACACTAATATAGTAAAGTTTTAAACAAAAAGTACACCGAGCTAAGCATTTAAAAAAAAATTATATTCAATAATAATTTATATTATTTTGAAGTGAACACACACGATAACTCTTCTCAAGAAAAACTCACTGGTTACATTACCCTTCTCCATTCAGGTTATACCGCACCAGGTGACGTTGATCCTCGCCTTTTGTGTCCAATATATGATGATCTCCAACGTTGTATGCCAGACAGTTGGCGTACAAAAATATGCTGTGGTGGGAAATACAGTGATAAAGTAAGTCTTAGAAAACACCATGTATTTGATTTGTATGATGAAAAGCAATAACAGTCCACCTAATTGATATCCATAGTACATTCAGTCCATTGTACATAGTTATTTCAGTGAGAAAAGGGTGTACGGGTACAAGCAACTCAAATTGAAAACTTTTATAATACTATTGCTTGATCAAATTACCAGGGTATTAGTACAAATTGGTTTCATTATTCTCTATCTTTTTTGGAATCGCTATTCCACCAGTTCAATTTATCCAATCTATGCTAGTCACTGTATCGAACTTCAATGTATGCTAACAACCCTGTAATATTGGGAAGTGCATTTTCCTATGTGATTTCATAGAGCTCAAAAAAGAGAAAGTCTTACAATAAAACTGTTTACATTCAAGCATGTAATATTGCTGCCTCTTAGTGAGGTATATCAGATGGCGTTATGCTTTACTTTTTACTTGTGTAATATTGCATATTATAAGGTTTTGCGAAAATAAAAAACAAAACAAAACATGTAGTCACGGGGAAAATATTGAACAGAGTCATAATTCGGCAGCATATATCATACAACTTACAACACAGTTGACATATTTGACATAATAATTCTGGTTAAAATTGCCTATAAATTCCCATGTCACAATATTGTGATTTGGGATTCCATCAACTGTTTCGTTCATATTGTACGTAAATCCTCACAGTTGGTTTCGGGTATTTAGACTATTTCAGATAGTGTTGATGTAAAAAGTGTATTTTATTCTGAACTACTTTTGACGAAAATGTGTGTAGTAGTTGGATCCAAATGAATTCGAGTTAGCAAAGTCAAAGATGTTTGGCATCTTTATGAAGATGTATAACGTGATGTGTTTCCATGGCATTTGCCTCTTTTAGGAAATTGTAGAGAATGGTGTTCCTGATAAGGAAACGAAAAACGAATTAATGAAAAAAGATGAAACTGCTGTTTGACAAGAAATACGACTCGCTATCCTGTTTGAATGAATTGGCTTGTTATACATGCCGAACTCTGTAATGTGTGAAGAATATTTAAATTGACATGTATAGTATTTAACATTAATGAAGAAGCTCTATATAAATTTTACTTTATTTATTGTTGGGCACATGCAACTTCCATACATCGCAGACACATTTTACAGTTTGTAGTCCAATAAACGAGGACACACGGGATCGGGACAGGTTTATGAGGGTTGTTCTATTGCTTTGAAATACACAATTATTAGTTATCGATTATAAAAATATTAGCACAATTAATTGTATCATGTCACTGGGACATGGTGGATTAAAATGATTGTATCTGTTTTTCTAAAATGTAGATTTTTAATGGAGATTGATGAATAATAGTTTTGTATGTTTACGTTGAATTGCATAAATCAAGAGATTGCACGAAACGTGCATATAGTCCGTTGTTGTTTTTTGTTTAATACACGAGTGGGATGTGTGGTAGTTGAATATGAAGTATATCACTAAAAAATGTGAAAAAACAGCTTATTAGCCGATATAGACCCACTGTTTGAAATCCATAGTACCATTAGTTGCTTATATGGGTTTTGATTACAAATGAACAAGAATATTCACTAAAAATGAAGGCCAAAGCGAGTGTCGTGAGTGCAAGTATCTGCGAATTTCGGCTACTTTCAACAGGAACATTGAAGGAGCCAGACTGGCAATTTTGAAGAAGTGACTACTGTGTGAATTATCTTGCAGGTACGCTGTTTAAGACATCCAAAACATAAACATGAAAGCAAATGTCACGATGTAATACATCGTGTCAAATCTACATTTTCGATGTTCTATTGTGAAATAAACACAATTCAAGAAATTTGTCATTGCCACATCGTTCGTATCTTCATAACACGTTCTGTGTTAGTGCTAGACTTGAATTCAATTTGTTTGTTTTTTTCTATAAAATAAAATAGTATTTTAGTTTATAAAATGGCTGTATGAATGTATATATTAGCCCCATCCAGAACGCACGTGTTCCTGACTAAAACGTTATACTGCAGTCCCTCTATTCCCGGCCTGGATACATATTAGGTGTGAATTAGGTGTGACCCATACACTATTGTGAAATAAACACAAGTCAGGAAAATTGGCCATGCCACATCGTTCGTATCTTCAGAACACGTTCCGTATTAGCCCCATACTTAAAAATACCGTTTATAATTAGATGTATGGAAGTATATATTGGCCCCGACCAGAATGTATTTGTATCTGTCTGGAACGCTTTTGTGTTATCAGCTTGTAAATAAATTATCAGAGGTTCTGTAAATATATGTAACTGACTATCAACACTCATTAGCCACAACCAAATAAACAGTCGCCCTGACGACTGAATTGGGCCTCTAAATTTACACGAGGTTACTTCCCGGATCCAATTATTTCGAATGACCTGATAGAATAGTGTAGATATACAGTACACACTATACATTGAGATGTGGGTTACGGTTGACTGCATTGTGCAGAACCACGCACCATAATGGCCACTGGCGACGCTCTACTGTTTATTTCAGTGCAACACTGCACGCTGTGATGCCTGTGTATGTACATTGCAGCGGCGGATCTCAGGCGGGGGCTCTGGATGTCAGAACACATCTCTAGGAAAAATAATAAATTTAAATACCAGAACAACATGCCAAATTATGTCAAATATAACGTGTTGCTGAATGAAATGAATGAATGAGAATAATGCTGTATTCAATTGGCTACAATAACCTAACTAAACTGTCATTGGTTTTTATTGCTCCATTATAAATATGCGAATTACGAACCGCTTAAGGTAGCGAGAAGGGAAATTTTCACTTTTTTCTTGATTTTTCAAAAATTGATAAAACTGTTACTTTAGACCTTGATACATCACCCCAGGTTAACAAAAGATCGAAATTGCGAAATAACGTTACTCAAATTAGTGTTTTAAAACACTAGCAGGAAAAGACTACAACTGGCGTTTCGTGGATATTTGCATAATCTTTATCTTTGAAAGGGTTTAAATGATAACATCTTATCTGTATACTCTGTTGTTGACGATTCTGATATAACGGGTGATAAGCTTCCAGTTGCAAACAATGCGTGTTTATCTAACGTCCATTGTCAGCATTATTGTCAGTCGAGACTTCGTCGGAGAAACATGGTCATACAGTACTCATTTCGCCCAACCTTCCGCTTTTACATCGACCGCTTATCGCTTAATTTCCGACCACGCGGTCTTGTCCGACCGGAAACCGACCGCATTTTAATCGCGTTTTTTTTCGCTCGCTCGCTCATTGAAAACATTGACCGCTCGCCCAAACACTGATCACTGGCACATGGGTGGTCGAAATGGTGGTTTTGATAGTAAAGTGTGAACATACAACTAGTATTAACTATTATTACATTCTGAACGACACTTCAAATCTTAGACTAATAGTTGTATTACACTTGTATCGTGAAAGCAACTGAACTGGGACCTCTTGTTACGTGTTTTGGGTGCTTGTTCTAGTTGTAATATTTTTATTTTATTTTAATGAGACAGTTACGTGAAAAAAAGCCTAGGTAACTCCTTTTGACAGAGCAGAGAAACGAGGAAATGTTAGTGATTAATTCCAAAAATAACGATACCGAAAAGAAAAATAAAATTGTCAAAACTAGAAAACACATTGAATAGTTGTTTCCTTTTCGTGATTATATGTATTACACCAACGGCCAAGCCATGGCCGATGATCCGAAAGATTGAGAAGTCGGATATGATTTACAAAAACAATTTCTTCGAGTCCTGAAAAAAAATAGGCAACGTTGACAAAACGCTTAATTCGAGGTATATATTAAGGATTTTCAAGAGTTTCAATATATATAATATAATATAATGATATTTCAAGTATTGTACGTGATAATTAATGTCTAATAATGCTAAAATGTTTATATCACCCAGAAAGGAAAACAAAACACAGAGTGATTAAATTATCAGTGTTTTCTTATGATTACATAAATGTCACCGCTGTTTAATGAAAACAATGATTCAGTTCAGTCGATAGATAATTATAAAAGACGCCGGAAAACCCAAATCACAACAACGACAAACAATCGGTGATGGAAGCCAAGGGGGAGGGAACACATTTTAAAAAGATATTTGCAGCAAACATAGCAATATTCGCGGAATACGCGGATTTATCTATAAATACTAGTATTTAAAAACGTGTATATCACCGATTTGAATATCTGGATTATGAAGCGCCCTCTACATGTCTTATATTATTGATAATGTTGAACCTCTCGGAAGTTCCTCGCTGGGTTCACCACTACATTGAGACACTCACTCACTCACTCACTCACTCACAACAGACATAGTAAACTATTACAACACATGTGTATTACCTTAATATGTACGTAATGTTTATTTATATATCACAGTAATTCTGCTTATATGGAAACAAACAATAAACCCACCACAATAAGTGGAAGTAACAATAGGCAAAACTAACTAAACTAACCTTAAAATAAAATACACAAACTATACCACACTGAGGAGTCAATGACAAATTGTAGAGGTTTATGTGTCAATATGTGAGCAGTTTTGTAAGGATTTCTTGCAGCACAGAGTGTGGCCATTTATGTGTTCCATTGCATTTACTCGTTATGTGTCTGGAATGTCTCAAGGATGTGATTTCTGACTGCAGAATGTAAATATTGTATGAAGATTTAATAACATGTGTTGACATTTACAATGTAATCGACGTTGTATTATGATTTATTTCTTAAAAATAATTTTTGGATGTTGGAAATACCAATTCAGTGGTAGGCGTCTATTTTGTATTGAACGTATTTTAGTGTTCCTATCTACTGTACCATCGTTCTTAGTAGTAATTCAATTACAAGTAACACCGAATAGTCACTACTTAATTGCTTAAAGAGTCTACGTCTTAACTCGATTGTCCATTTTTTTCATGAATCCAGCATCTCCCGTTTCTCTGTGCATCTTGGAACAAATTTCAATATTCCTCTAACTACATATAATGATGTCATTCAGAGCAAGATGTTGCTCCAAAGTTTTGAAATGTGATTTCGTAAAAGAACGCATTGTGTTTGGTCTAAGTTTTCAATTGCTCCATTCGTTTGCATTCGTTAAATAACAGACGATAGGAAACTTGCATTTACTTAAAACAAGGTAATTTCTCTATTTTATCCCCAGTTCGCCGTCATGGTACCACACCATTCAGTAACGAATATCTGTATTCATCCGCATACATTGCGCCCAATAGCCCGTCTTATCTATTTATCAAATTTATTACATGCGGTACACATTTTGTGTTTGTAAATATTATATTTATAGTACATTTCAGCACAAAAATATCATAGTAAATTGATTCCATAAATTAGAAGATAATGCATCCGTGATTAAATCGAAATGACATATTTAGGTTTTCTATGAATTTGATTCTTTTATAACAAAGTAATAACTTATTGTCAGTAACGAACATCCTATTATTCATTATTAGAGGTATTACGTAACATGTAATTAAGGAATTTATTATATCCCAGTTTGTACTTTAAATTTAATGTTGGATGCAACACATATGGGACAGAAAACTGCCTGGGACACAATTCTCGGAGGCGGACATCCGGGCATTTTCTACCGCCTAGCAACTCTCGCGGTGAAAACAAAGACCAAAAACTCGCAGAAAACGGTACTTTGCAATGGTTGTTGAGAGTCCCCTGAACAGTGCAACAGGATTAGCCCTACGTGTGTAACATATATGAATTTGGTTGTTCAGGATTACTTCAAAGTTGAGTTTGTGTTGTTTTCTCGAGTTTTCACCGGCTCCACCGGCGTTCAACAGCAGCGCGCACAGAGCCCGTAGAAATACGTGGTACAGTGGTGTGCGTCTTAGCAACGTAGAACGTCCGTGACGTAGCTCCGCCGCGCCCCGAGGATTTGGATTAGCTGTGCGAATCGCATTCATTATATTTGGTGATAGCCTATCACGCGGTACAGTGTCCTAGCTGTGCGAATCGCATTCATTATATTTGGTGATAGCCTA